TATTGCTGTGGTTTTCAGTCTGTTTTAACACTGTACTCTTCAGACAGGCAGCATTTATTGAAACCCACTTGCTGTCCTTGCCTGTGACGCTGGAGGGAGCAGTTGACTGAATTCTGGCTTGTTGGGAGACAGGCAGAACAGCTCAGGCAGTTCTTAGCAATGATACTCTGTTTCTTACGTGCTTTTTCAGCCATATGAAGAGCTGGTGCCTCATTGGTTTGAAACTGAACCATTGTATGTCTCACGTCTTGTTGAATCATTGTAGGTTGTCAAGTTTAAAGTATGCCTATTAAAATATGCCTTTGAAATGTGTGTTCTGTGGCTGTTCCGCGGTGGCAGAACAGCAGTAAAGTTTCTGGCAGATAATAGTCTCACTTGGTTATTCATAAGGAGCAAACAGAAGGGGAAATGTAAACGTTACACGATTAATCCTTCATTGTATGTGCTATTATTCCTAATAGGTATTAATTAAGATTAATTTTTTTAACTGTTGGTAAAGGGGACTTGACATTCAAAGGTCAATTTGCACATTAAAACCACTTGACTACGGAAAAGGAAAACAGCAAAAGATCAGAAAAATTGTAAAACAAAAGGATGTGGTGTGATTGAACTGTTCCACGTCTTGAATCTTAATAAATAATAGGTGAAATTGTGTTGGATATGGCAGGAGCTGACTTGTCATTTATTGCTAGCAGTCTTGATGCTGACCCACTCATCTTTTCATGGTGAATAGGTATGCTGTGTCCATGGCAAGAAGAATTGGTGCCAGAGTTTATGCTCTTCCAGAAGATCTTGTGGAGGTGAAACCGAAGATGGTCATGACCGTGTTTGCCTGCTTGATGGGCAGAGGAATGAAGCGAGTATAAAAGAGTTGAAAAGAAAAAAAAAAAACAAAATGCAACAAAAACCCAACCTGCCACCCTGGGTGCATGAGTAGCAGATCGGCTGTGACCACGTTGAAACGCTGTTGGCCTGGAACTGTTGAGGTTCAAAGGACTTTGTTTTGCTTTGCAAGACAAACTCTTTATCAAAATTCTCAGGGAGAGGAGTTTTAACCAACAGACATGCTCTTTTCCCAAAGGAAAGTTTAACTTATCAAGAGCTCACAGAAATGCATTCATAGCAGACCTGCATCTTGCAATACTGCTCTGGAGCTGCTTTCACTCCATTATTTCTCAGTTACTTGATGCGTGGTTTTTTTACCCTGGAGGGCTATAAGGTGGTTGGTATGAGTTGTAATGGAAACAAATCTAATTTCTATCTGCAGTCCACTTTAATTTCTGTCATACGGTCCAAGCATATTCTAGGTTTGACCACATCCTTAACTTTGCACATAAAACTACAGTACAATTTGGGACCTGCAGGTCAGCTCACAATGCTAAATGAGAAATGTGTCATTAGGAAGATGATCTTCCTCTGGTATTCTTTGTACATGGTGCTTTTTTGTACATCTAACTATTTTGATTACTTTACAAATAAAGCATGGCAGTTTTTTCTCTTGCTGCTTATGAAAAGATTAAGATTTTTTTGTTTTGATTTGTTTTTTTCTTTTGTTTAAGGTTATACTATATATGATAATACCACCATCCTTGGACCTCTCACGGTAACATATGATATCATGTTGCTGATGGCACGGTTACACCTGAGAATGGAAGTGAATGCATTTTTGTATGCATCTTGGTTCAGTCCTGTGCACCTAGAAAATAATTTTTACAGAAATCTGCATGAAATCTATAACTTTTTTATTTAAAATGCTGTTGGATATAAAACCATACTACATTGTGGGGAGGTTTTGTGCAGGGAAGAGGCAAATGGTATAAACAGCAGGGTTCAATAAAGTGAGCAGCAAATGTGCTGGAACATAAAACTATTTTTACAGATAAATGGAAGCGTTTTCGCCAAAGAAGGAAGATGCTGTATCCATAGGATTTAATATTATCTTGCTTTGGCAAGCTGTTTGCTATATTTTGAGATCATATTGCTATTCCAAGCTATTCAAAGTGATGTAATATGGTGGCAAACCGTTAGTTGAAATAAAAACATTTAAATACACTCCTCTCTCCTTATTTACACTGACCCAACATGGCAGCCTGTCTTCACTTGCAGCTGGTGCTTCTGGGCTTCCATGTCACACACCAACTTTCCCCACTTTTAATGACCAGATGCAAATCTGCTATTAGGTGCTGGTTCTTCAAAGCATGTTGAGAGGTTGGTGCTGCCATTAAAAGCGAAGGAAGAACACGTTTGTTCTTCTCTATCATAACGCTTTGTGGACTTCAGAGATGAAAGTTTATAAGGCAGCTAATTGAGTGAAAGGGATTTAACTTTTCTATGTGTAGGAGATGAAAAAAGGGCAGGTGAGAGGAAAGAATTTGGCAGGGAGCTGGGAATGTCAGCAAACTGCCACAGTGATTTACTGCATGAAGCCTCATGCACAGCCATTTGGAAACTTTCCACTGGTACAATTTTTTCATAAGAAAATATGTTAACAACGCTTCCACAGGAAATTGCATGTTTTCGCTGAAGATGGAGTGATATACAGTAAGTAGAGTCACATCCCTCCTGCTGAAACAGTAGGTGATTTATAGCACTGTGTGGGGGTATGGTGTAACCAAGGGTAAAATTCTTAGAGTTCGGAAGTGGCCACGTGCACCTCTCCTGTCTCGCCTCTTTGGCTCCTGGTACTGGGTTACAGGGGGAGAAATGGAAACTCTGACAATTAGAGAATGGGAGAGCATCTCCTCCTTGTGCTGGATGTATTTAAGAAATAGGCTCACTCAAAGAGAAGTATTGGGTCAGAGTGAAGGTCTTCTGCAGAGCAGACAGGACAAACCCCAGTGTTTTTGCACCAGTAAAGCCTCTAACAAACAAGATTTCAAATAGTTTGTGTTGTTAATCACACCTAAAATTTCCAACAGAAACCAGAGATACAGGTTTTTTTCTTCCTGAAAGTATTTTTGTTTTTTCATATTAAATTATTTGTTTATATTTATTGAATTACTCATTTCTGTTTATTCAAGTCTGGTTTTGTTTCCAAGTTTTTTTAGCAGCGTCAGCTTTGTTCATAAAATTTTTTTTTAAGCAGTCAAGCTTGCTGCCGCCTTTGTGGATATATGTTGTCCTTAATCTCAAGGTTCTCCTTCAAATGTCTTTCCAAGCCAAAACTGCATTTTTAGGGCCTGTGTTTTGTGGTGTAAGTTTTTCTTCTATTCCTTGCAAGTTTCATTTTTTGTGGATTAAAAGTATAGCTATGTGTTCTTCCCAAGCATACTGTGTACAACTTGTTAAATATTTCTATTGCTGTTTCATTATAGCACAGAAGAAGCAATTTAGTTGTGCTTCTGTTCAGTGTTTAATGAAGTGGTGGTGTAAAAGTGTAAGGAATATTTTTTGTAAGCATTCAGAGGAGACAAGGCTCTCCTCCTTATAAATTTTTCACCAATTTATATTATTCAGTGGAAAAAATCTAATCTTTTAGGGACTTAAAAAAATTGCTGAGGTGGACTTCGCTTGCTTGTTTTTTGCTTCTGCCTTTTTCTATTGCAGCTTGATGGCAGAGGGGAATGCCAAAGCAAGAAACAAACTGGACTTTTTCCTTCACTGCTTTCCAAAGTATGTGAAGCTGAGGAAAGTGAGGATGGTGAAACAGCACCAAAAAAAAGTAAGCAAAAATTTATTGACCATTGAATACTTTGCAGAAACCTAATCACAGTCTGATAATGAGGAGGATGCAGCATGTGTGGTTCTGTTGTACAGCCCCAGTTTGTCCCTTCACTAGAGCAACAGCAAAGGTTGGCTTTAGTCTACACTCCATGGCAGGTTTCCCATGTCAAAATGTGCTGGGGTTTGTGTTTTCAGCCCTAAACAAAGGTTTATTTCTCTTACCTCTTACGAGCTTAGAATAATTCCTCTAAGGGCAGGGGCAAATGTGGTGAGTCTGCCACACATTCTGTTGCTTCCTTCTGTGAGCACTCAGTAAACACTGGGCATGTTTTATGGCAAATGCTTATACAGTGATAGTTGCTGAAAATAATATCTAGGTGTTATTGTTTTTAAAAGTCAGGTGAGAAATAATAATAGGCAAGAAACTTCTCTGAAAAAGCATCTCAGAGAAAAAGGCAAAAAGCTGTAAAGAGCGAAGTTCCTCAGACCTGGCTGTGCTGCCACCAGCCCTCATGGCTGATGGCAAGGTCAGAGCAAGGGACACAGCCGTGGGTGATGGGGGCTCTGCTCACTGCAGCTTTAGGAATTACTCAATTCCTGAAGTCTCCCAACAGTGGAAAACAGAGACACTGTGAGGCATAAATGCTGTCTGTGCAGGTCGTGTCCTCTGTGTGCTGGCAACCAAAGCCTAGGGAAGACCATGCTAGTTCTGCAGGACAGGTCTCCATGGACAGACTTACTCTACTTGTGATGCAATTTAATCTCTGCAGGAAATCCAGCTCTGCTGTTGACTGTACCTGGTCCCTGAAGGATGGGATTTGCCATCAGTATTACTATGAGCACCAGACTCCTTGGACGAGCACTGACAAATGGTGCTGCTGGTTCTGGAGGTCATGGGGCTGCTTCTGTGACTTGGCAATGGGAATTGCTTCCTGCAGGGCAGAGGGGTTTCGCAGTCAGGGGTTTAGCCCAACGAGATGTTCTGTCTGGCCAGGAACACATTGCAAGTCACAATCTTGCAAAGGAAAAAGCATCCAAAAATACGTAATATTTCTGGATGTGACTGCATCAGTGGACAAGTGTCCCATGTCACCAGCACAAGCCCCTGCCCTGAACTTGCCAATGTGAGCTTTTACATTGAATTCTGATGTTGGCATTTCAGATTTGAGCATTGCCCATGAGTGAAAGCATTTACTCCTATGTAATAAAATCCCTTTATTTCTGTATAAAATCCACCTGTAATAAAAACCATCCTTCACAAGCAAATAGTAAGAAAATAAATAAGTAGCCTCCACCTTATAATTTAAACATCATTAAAATGTGGCTACCAAGATGTCCTACCCCCTTGCACTGTACCACGTGTTCCAGGCAAATGTCAGCAGGATGACCTTGCTGGGGAGAGTGGGGGGCTCTGGAGCCACACTGGTACCAGCCTCCCTGCACTTGTCCTCACTTGCCAGCTCGAGGGACACCGTGCAGTCCATCAGGTCCCCTGGGCGGGGGTCATTGAGCACCGTTGTGTTGTGAGGGCCCAGGAAGGCGCAGTCCAGCCCTTCGATCACAGCCCTGCGCGTCACCATCCACTGCCAGAACCAGAGCATCCTGCAGTCACAATTCCAGGGGTTGTGGGATAAAAACACATACTTCAGCTTTGTCAGTCCAGAGAACAAGCGGATGGGGAGGGAACTGAGGTTGTTTTTGCTTAGGTGAACAAAGTGCAGCTTATGTAAGTATGAAAAAGCAGAGTCTGAGATCGAGGAGATCTGGTTGTTGTTCAAGTACAAGTTTCTCAAGTTGAGCAGATGTCTGAAGGTGCAGTCCACAGCAGTGATTTTGTTGGCTTCGAGGTGCATGGTCTTGAGCTGGATCAACCCTTCAAAAAGCTGATTAGGCAAATCAGTGATGAAGTTGTGTCCTAAATTTAACATGCCCAATCTGAGGAGCTTTGTGAAAGCGCCATTTTGAATGATCCATATCCGATTCTTCCTGAGGTTCAGATCGTACAGCATTTCCAGGTCCTTCAGGGAATCTCTGCCGATGGCTTCTATGTGATTGCCCTCCAGGGACAGCCTCGTGAGGCTGGAGAGGTTGCTAAAGGCTTGTGGGACATACCGCATGTTATTGGAGGCTAAATCGAGGCTTTCCAAAGAAGGCAAGTGTGAAAATAGAAGCGGGTGGATTTCGAAGATATTGCAGTGGGACAAATCCAGGCTGATGAGGTTTAATAGTCCTCTGAAAGTGTTTGCATGCAGGTAGGTGAGGCGTGAGTTTCTGCTGAGGTGCAGCTCTCGCAGCTTGTTGAGAGCGTGGAAGGTTCCTGGGGTCAGGAAAGTTAGATTGTTCCCATCTAGCCACAGGCTGTGAAGGAAAGTCAGGTTTCTGAAGGTGTTGGTGTTGAGAGTCCGTAAATAATTACTGGAGAGGTTTAGAGAGATGGTGGATGCTGCTACTTCTCCAGGGAGGGCTTTCAGTCCAGCTCTGATACAGAGGACAGTGTCTTCAGTTGTACACTTGCACATGCTTGGGCATGAATCAGAGATATTCTGACTCAGACCAGCCTTTGCTGCACAGGTAAATACAAATATAACAAGAAAGGACATGACCAGCCACACATCAGCCACTGCATCTAGTACCTGATGGAGAGAAGAGAAGGAGGCAAGAAAAAGAGCGTGTACCTTTTGGGCAGGTGAACCGCAGGCACTGCAGGGTCGGCTGGGCTGTGCACAGTGAAAATAAATTAGCTGGTTCTTCCTGCTGCAGACTGGGGGTGGGAAGTGTATATGGGGGGGGGGGACAGTGGTGGTGGGGGAGTGGATTAAGTGTTTAGGCACATAAAAGCCGATTAAGTGCCGCCCTGCTGAGAAGTAGGGAGATTTTTCAACCCAGCATTGTGCTCTGACAGTGGTTTTTCCCACCTCCTGCCCACTGCAAACAGCCGCAGGTAACAGACTTCCCTTGGGATCTGTCTGGGAGAGGCTCCTGCTCATGGGTTATCACCGTTCTCAGTCTGCTTGACAGTTTGTGCAAAAAAACTCTGTTTTGGGGGCAGTTTTTGTACTTTCCTCCAGTTAGAGCTTCAGCAAAGGCAGCTGAAGGTGGCTCTGCCATCTGGGTGTGAGGTGAGGGCTCTCACCCTAGTGTGGCTGCACACACTGGCAGATGCCTTGGGCTCATGCCTAGGGAAGTGGAGTTGTCACTGAGCCCTGAGCACAGCCCTGGTGATGGCTATGATTCCTCTACAGTAAAATGGGAGACTGTCAGGAGCTCTGCAAGCCTCCCTGCCAGCTGAGAATGTGCAGGGGAGTGCTGTGTCCTGGCAGAGCCTTTTCTTGAGATAAGCCCTGAGCCCTCTATAAGTGGTAAAAAATTATACCCATGTCAAAACACAGAGCACCCCAAGGGCACTCTGACCTTCCCAGGGCACTGCCTGTCTCCAGCAGGTCTGAAGATGCCACTGAGCAGCTGGAGCTGGGCTTGGGTCCCTTAAAACCTGTGTCCTTGACCCTGCTGGATCAAGGAAATTTTTATTGGATATTTTTTATCCAATATCCACAGGCAAAGGAAAATGCAGTTGAGGGGCTGATTGATGCCCCCAGAAGCCAGGAATCAGCAATCTGCAGACTGATCATTTTGCTTACCGTGCCAAGAGGACTAGACCCAGGGCTTGCAGCTGATGTGTCAGCAGGGCAGGCAGTTGCTGCTCATGTTTTTTATCACTCTTTTAATTTTTGTTTTCCACCTCACTTCCCTCTGCTAGAGTTCTCTTGTTTTTGATGTGTTTCAAGCACCTTCTGTCAGCCCCCTGCCTTCCAGTCCATTTCCCTCCTCCTACTTTCTTGGTTCATCTCTTTTCTTTTTTCATGTTTTACAAATTCGGGTTTCCTTTCCCTATCCTGCTCTGCCAACTCTGTCCAGACAGTGGCTAGAAACCCAAATATATTGTATGCCCAACAGTAAGTGTGAACTGGACAAATTTGCAGCTCTGTTGTTTTCTCAGCAGAGGCAGATTAGGTTTCCTGTGCTAGTTAAATTACTGTATTGGCTTCAGCTAGTTCTGTTTTCTTCTTCATTTTTTCAAGCAACAGTCCCCTGAAGACCAGCTTCTCCCTGGAAGGTTGACTAGGATGGTCATGTTGTGTAATGGAGACCATCTTCCAGCTGTAAACAACATCATTCATTTAGTTAGACAGGTTTTGATGCAGTCTTATCAGGGGCCAAAAGCTGGTTTTCACTGAGAGCAGCAGTGATGGCACCATGCCAAGGGGCTTGTCCTGGGAGCCCCAGAGGAAGGTGGAAATGTGTGCTGTTCACCCCATCCAGCTGCTCACATCTGGAGTCATGCCAAAGGTTTTGGTGGGTGAATCTTTGTTTTCTGTGTTCCTGGCTCAGCTGGGACTGCTCCTTGGAGAACATCACTTAGGAGGGGTGTCCCACTGCTGGGATCTCCACAGCCTCTCTTACCTCCTGCTGCAGCACAGCTGTGAATATCCATTGCTCCATGACTTTGCCAGTGCAACCCTGTGAAGGAGAGAGGTTTCTGCTGGTCTCTGTGCAGGACAAGTGAGCTGCTCTCTGCTAGGCTAGCTGAAGTTTGGTAGCTCAGGCTGAAGAAGATGGATCTCTTGCTCTGGTGTCATTTTTATTCTACATAGACTTTTATTTCTGATTGTAATTCCAGCAGTGTTGCCGTGTTCCAGCCCTTTTTTTAGCCTAGAGCTCTCTCTAACTCTCCTTGATTTCATAATAGAAATTTTCAGAGGCTAAAAGCATGCAACTCTTGGAGCTCATTATTGCCAGATGCTGCTTAACTGGACTAAAACATTGTGGTGGAACAGGACCACACAGCTCCAGAATGTTTCCTTGCTTCGGAGCCTGTAGGGCCAAGGAAGCCCGTAAGTATTACAGTGACCAGATTTTTACACCTTGTCACAGCTTTGGCACTTCCAGTTGCTCCCTATAAAGATTCTACAATGCACAGGATGGTGGCAACTGCCTTGCCAGGGTTTTGGCTGTGGCTGCCACCTGGACCACATTTACTGATGGCAGCTCTGGTTGCAGCTGCCCTTGGGGTGGAAGTCAGGCAGTGATGTGCCATCGCTCAACACTGTGGAGAGCTAAACCTTTGCTGGGGGCTGAGCTGATCCAAGACAGTGGCCACAGGAATGTCCTGTGTGTGCTGTAGTGTCCAGTGCTCTTTTGCAAGAAGCCTCAGCATTGCCTGGCCAGCTGCAGCTCCTGAGCATCTCCACTGCAATCATTGCCACGTTAAGATGCTGCAGAGATAAGGTAAGGACATGGTCCTTGAGAACAGGCATGTGATTTTTTTTCACTAGCTACCTTTTAACAAACACTTTCCACTATGGTCCATTCAGTCATGAGCATCCTGCTCTTGGGTTGTTTTGTCCAGGCTCAGCTCTCTGTGCTCCACGTGCAGGGATTTTGGTTGTCGCAGTCCATCTGCTTGGAGGGTTTTCTGGAGTGCATCATGTGTTTTGGCTGAGGTGGCTCATTATTCTGGCTTCAATGGAAAAGCTGAACCACTGAAGGTTTCTGTTAAAATGTATTCCACCCACTGCATGACCACGGTTGTGTTTTTGTCTTTCTTTCAGTTACTGATTTATCTGACATCTGGGATTTATAGCCCAGCACACCCACTTCAGAAATTGTTTGTAGCTGATGTCAAGAGCCCTGCCTAATACTGTAGATTTTAAGGGTCTGTATTCTCCTTAGGAGACTGAGGTTTGATACGAGTGTTCCAAACATCTACTTTGGGATGGTCTTGCTGGTCTAATGAGTTAAAGGAGCAAGGTTTGCTTTCTTTAAACTTTCTTTTGGGCAAAGATTGAGTGAGCAGAATCACTTAATAGCTTTTTCGGTTAACAGATTGATTAAATAAGGTGGAATACCCAAGTGGCAGGAATATTCTGACTCTGCCAAAGCTTTATCTATCTGGTGAACTCTCACATGTATCTCAGCATTCTTGGAACATAGGAGAAATTTCCAACAAAAACACTTAAAAAGTGAGAAAGTTGTTTGCAGTGAGTATAGTTCAAAATAGCAAAGGAAGGAAGATTTTTATTTGTAAAATGTCTCTGGAAAGAGACCCCTGAGTACTCTTTAACTCTATAAAACTGGCCATGGAGCCTTAACTCTTCTTAAATATCACTTTGAGACACTAAAAAGAAATGTGAAGCAGGCTCCCACATCCTTTAAATGCCAGGCTATGTACAGTTATATTAATACTAATAAAGTAGAAGTCAGACAGGAGGGAGCTCTCTTCCACAAGCTGTGGGCATCAGTGTCTTGACTTCTGCTGCTTATCACAGCAGCTGATCTGGGAGAAGTGAGCAGGGGAAAATGACCTGTGATGAAAAATTGTTCTTTATGAAAGCTGACTGTGGGTTCCTCTTGCAACCCAGCTGAGCAGATCTCGGTTGCTAGAATGCTGTGTTTGGGACATAGCAGCATCAGTGGCATTTAGGCTCTGTGCCTGTTGTGGGCAAGTGCTGGTGTCTGGTGGTTTATCTGTGTCTGGGGCCATGTCTGGGTGCTGTGCAGCACTGAGGAATGGAGTTTTGACCCAGTCCTGCTGCCTTCAGCAGATCCAGGTATGATGCAGTGCTCCCCTGAGAGTGGGCAGTGGTGCCAGGGTACGTGTGCACTCGCTGCCTTTAATAGCAACGGGTGCGGCTTGTTTTCAAAGTCACTTATGTCCTTGTTTTCTTTACTACTTTTAGTAACTTGTAAAATGCTTACAGCCAATTATTTGAACAAACAATGTCATGGAGGATAATCTGAGTCTTGGCAGCACTATTGGCTGGACACAAACATCCCATAAAATAAATGCTCTGGAAAAGTTTTCTGCATGCTGGAGGTAGAAGGGGTATCCCTCTTTCCTTCCAACTCCCTCTGTCACAATATAGATGTTGAACTGCCTCAGAAATGACCTCTTTCAGCACAGAAGGTTCATTCAATGGAACCAGAGCTCTCTGACCCCATACTCTGATGTGTCCTGCCAGGGTGACCCTTGTCTTCACTGCTGTGCTGCTGTGAAGTGAAAAAGCAAGGCTTTCCCCAGGCCTGCTCAGTGATTCCACATGAAATCATGGAGCTAAAATGGAACACTGACCAAGGTTTTCCCTTTGAAAATGCTAGTAGTTCTCCCTCTTGGCCAAAACACTGGGTTTGCAGACACCCACTGCCAGAACTGATTATGCTTCAGAGGCACATGAAACAATGTTAAGACCCAGCATACTGAGGCAAGAACCATGGATGCTGGATGGGAACAGGACTCATTACCTCGGCCTTAGATCTTCAACTGGTTGCTGCTCACAGTTTCTCTTTTCCCTGAGTCCCCAGAGAGGACAGGAGCTTTCTCTGCAGGAGTGCTCAGGGGCTGTGGAAGGACCAGGTATTTGCAGGACTGAGCAATTAATCTCTAAGGAAACCCTTAAACAAACAAATGTGGGAAGGAGGAATGCATGTAAAAGTTTATGGGGTGCTGGGGAAACCCAGCTGGAATGGTTTTGGTGAGTGTGTCCAAAAGGCCTGTCATTTAGCATGAAGCAAACACACCACCCGGAGGGATGGAAATCATCACTGCCCCAGCAGTGTGTGGGTGCTGGATCCCCAACTTCTACCCTCAGCCCTGGGACCAGGGAGTCAGAACATCCTGCTGTAAATCAGCACTAAAGGGGACAGAGCCACGGTGACCTATGTTGGGTTATGCATCCTGGGTAGCAGGATGCTTTCTTCAAAAGGAAATAATCAAGCCCATGGATACAGTATGCATCTGGACACCACACTGTCTTGAGGATTTGGCAGGCTGTCAGGGTCTAACCTTAAGAGGTGGCTGTGACAGACTGCTGGCAGTGTCAGATATGCTGCCTGTTCGGAATATTCCATCCCTGACAGCAGCACTTCCCTGCAAAATCCAAGACCTAGGACTTGGAGTGCATGGATTTTTAATTTTTTTTTAACTTATTTGCACAGTTGATCAGAAGTTGCTTTTTGTGTGGCAGTGGCTTGTGAAGATGGTGGTTTTAGTTTGGGTTTTTTTGGTTTGGTTTGGGTTTTTTTAAACACTTCTAGTGACCTCTTTAGCTGCACAGACTTGAGGATAAAAAGACAAACTTGAGTGCTGAATGTGACCATATAGCAAGTTTCTTGCTCCTTTTGAACTATGAGGTTTTTTTCTTGGTATAAAAGACAAACTTAAAATCTTTCCCCAAATCCACCCCCCAGAAAGACCCACCTTCTCCCCATTTAAACAGGCCTTGTGGTGAAAACTCCCAGCTTTTGTAACTTTGCAGCCAGATGAGCAGTAAACAGGCTCTGCCCTGTGCTGAGCTGTGTCCTGGGCTCTGCTGCAGCAGATCCATGTGCTAGGTTTACCAGCCTGGCTGTGGAAACAATGCATGGACAAACATATCCCACAAGCTCAGGGGGCATTAGCTCAGCTGCAGCCCTACATGGCATGGGGTTGGCTTGTGCATGGAAAACTTTGTGTTCCAGTGATGCTCAGAAAAAGTGAGAGGGAGAAAGAAATGGTGGAGGAAATAGAAAAGAGAGGGCTTTGTACATTGGTGAAATGGAGTTATGGAGTGAGAACTTGGGATCAGATAAGGAGTCAGATGCACTGGCAAGGGGAAGAATGGGAGCAGGATTTGTCAAAGGACAGCCCGAGGTATGGCCCCCATTGCATGGGGTGCCTTGGGGCCATTTCTTCTGTACTAAAAGGAATGAACCCAACACAAAATCTCCGACAGTTTTGTAAGTAGAACAGGATAGACACAGAAAGTATCTGGGAGGATCAAAAGTGCATCTGGAAAGGAAAACTTCATATTTAAATCTAAACAGTTTGTGTTTGTTATTTTTGCAAAATAAACATTTTAGTGCATTTGACATTTTCCCCCCACTTGCAAAGCACACTGGGTGTTTGGTGAGGGACAGAGCAAGATCTTTGTGTGCAAAGCAGCTAACAGCAAGGATTCCTGGTGGAGGGTGTCCACTTTCTCTCTCTGTGTGTTCATATTATGGTCAGCTCTGCCAGGACTAACAGCCTGTTTCACTCTCAAATGTGTTAGCAAGTGCTGAGAGTCCATGGGCTGCATGGGAATCCCCCTGCCTTCAGAGATACATGAATCCTTGCGTGGAGGCTCCCATGTGTTGCGTGTGCACGTGGAGGGCAGAAAGGGGTTGCATGTGGGTGTATCCCCCTGGCCCAAGAGCTGCTGTAGAAGACTGCAGGGATATTTACATGAATTTCCTTTTTTTTCTTGCTCGATTTCTTCCCTTTTCTTTTTTTTTTTTCTGGCTGTCTTGTTCCTCTCTCCTGATTTACCGCAAACGCTCACGTGGCCTTGGAAAGGGGGGTTCTCAAACTGCTTTGCTTCCAAAAGGAAAAGAAGCTGGCTGGCATTCATATTTCACTTCTTGAGTTATGTAGGTTAAAGTCTCCCAGTGGGAAAACGGAAGATATGAGAGAGCAGATTGCTGGTGGCGACACTTGCTGGGAGGAAAACGGAAAAAAGGAGCACAGAACTCTAGAGCTACGTCCAGACGAATGTGAGGTCTGAGAGGTATGTGTTCTGTCTGCTGTTAGAACATAATTTCTGTTGATTTGATTCAGTTTGTGATAGAATGTCTCATTGTGTGTGAAGTAATAGTAGGAAGGCGCAGCTTGGAGGAGCTGATTCTAAGGCACCAGTTGTTCATGTGCAGAGGGGGGAGCGTGTTTGTCAATGAAACCTTGTTCTCAGTAGTGTAGCTACAACTGATTATGGTGTGATCCCTCTGCTAGGAGTAAGTGAGATATGTAATGCTCTGTGACGAGTTCTGAGATTTCAGCTTCTGTAGCTTAAAGTGAGGGGTTCAGGACAAAAGGGTGAAATGGGACTCCAGACCCTCTCCTGAATATTTGTGTTCCCAAATGAAAAGCTTTCATTGGGTTTAAGATCTGTTGATTACACAACATGGGCTTGTGAATCACTATTTGTGATTTTAAATACTGGCACTGTGCAGAAATTCCCCTACTGAATTTTCATTGTTGAGACAACATATTTAAAATTAAATTTTTGTCAGTATATCCAAAGTAGCATATTTCATATTTTGCATTGTGCAAATGATAAGCTACGGTACACTAAATTGTTAATACAGAAAAATGTGTTTCAACTGATCTGTTGTCTTCTGTTAAATGAGAGATCATTACCCAATTCTGCTGTCTTGGTCAAAATTTCTGTTGTTTTTAGGGCTCCTTGTGAATTCTTTAACACCTGACTGATTGCACAAGGACTTAATTAAAAATGAATTGTTCCTGTTATGCAAAATAAAATATTTGGGTATGATATCTTCTTTATTTGCGTATAAAGTTATTTGCTTATGAAGTCTTGAACTTTGAAAAGTGCTCTGCTCAGAGTGCAGACACAAGCTGTTGAACTGGAACAAAGGCAGACCTGTCAATCAACTCTCCTATTTTAGCTGTTTTGTAGTTATATTTTTCCCTTCTGAAACCCAGTCCTGATCTTTCTAAATGGATGGCACATACTACTGTTAAATCCGATGCCTGCAAGAACTGAGTTTATTGCTTGTGTCTATACTTCTTTTACTGTTCTGATTAAAGCTGTCATGAGGGCAGGAGATAGAGATTTGCTTTGAGAAGATTTTGACAAATGATATTTTGCAAAGACTTTTCAGTGTCTTTGTATCCAGCCCTGTGAACTAAAAAAAAAAAAAAAGTCATAGCTTGCTTTCCTAATAGCCTTGTTAAAAGGCTGCTTTCATGCCTGTGAAGTCCCAGGAGACCCTCAGGTGTGAAGTGCCTGATCTCCACTGGTGACTGCTGCCTTTTAACATTATTTTAACTCCTCAAGAGTGCTGGAAATAGCATGAGAAAGCTGAGAAAAGGATCACGAGGAGCTTCAGTGCGCCCTTTGGGTCACAGAAGTTCCCTAAGTGTCTCCAGCTCCTGAGTCCATAATCTTTCTGCTCTGCTGGCCCCAGAAAGCACCATCTGTAATCACAGATAAAACCCAGCTGCTTGCTTCTTTGCCAGGCTAATTAAGAAGTGCTGTGACCTCCCTAGGGCTAATTGTGTCCTGTCAGTGGGATGAAGGTAAGGAGTTCAGCAGGGTTGCCTGCTATTTCAGCACACAGCTTCCTGACATAACTTCAAATGGTTTATCTTTTATTGTGACTGCGTGATTTCAGAGCTAAGACAGCTGCAGAGTGCATGTCTAACACACGGTTTCTGATCCGCAGGTGAGAGATGTGATAGAAAATTGCTGCTAGCACATGAATTTCCTGCAGAACGTCCCTTTCCACCAGCACCAGCATGCAGAACAACTACTCCCTGGCTGTCACCACCAGAGAAACTCTTCAAGCCCTCTCTACAGCACTGACAAACTCGTCGGCTGTGTTACTCTCGCCCCCTCCCTGCCCTCTTACCTCTTCAGATTATCAGTTTTCACTGATTCCAGCACTCTTCTCTGTGGTTTTTGTTGTGGGATTGATTGGCAACAGTGTGGTGGTTGGGGTGCTTTGTCGTCACACTAGTTCCAAAACAGTTGCTAATATTTACATTTTCAACCTGGCCATGGCAGATCTGCTGTGCCTTGCTACCCTTCCCTTCTGGGCCACCTACTATGCCCAGGGATACAACTGGCTCTTTGGGTCTCTCATGTGCAAGATATCCAGTTCTGTCCTGTGCTTGAACATGTTTGCAAGTATTTTTTTCATTACGTGCATGAGTGTGGACCGGTACCACGCCATTGTCCATCCTATTCACTCCCAAAGAAGGACTCTACAACAAGCTTATTTTGTAGCATCGGTTGTGTGGGGCCTTGCCTGTTTGTCCTCCCTCCCAACTTTTTATTTCCGAGACACTTACTACATCGAAAGCTTGGGGGTCAAGGCTTGCATTATGGCCTTTCCTTATGAGAATTATGCAAAATGGTCTGTGGCAACAGCCTTCCTGAAAAATGCCCTCGGCTTCTTCATCCCCTTGACAGTGATCACCACCTGCTACATCTGGATCAGGAGGCACTTGCTTAAAGCACGGGAGTTTCGGAAAAGAAAGCAGAAGAGGGACAAAGTGCTAAAGCTGGTTGCTGCTGTTGTTGTGGCCTTCTTAATTTCCTGGCTTCCATTCCACATTTTAACCTTTTTGAATGCCTTGGCTCATATGAACATCATTAACAGCTGTGACGTGATAGGGATCATTGACACGGCACTGCCCTTTGGCATCTGCATGGCATTTGCCAACAGCTGCATCAACCCTTTGCTGTACTGCTTCATTGGGAACCAGTTCCAGCAGAAGCTCCATCGCTTGTTTAAGAGACGAGTTTATCAGTTCAACAGCCATCGAGAAAGCTCCTCTTCAAGGAAGGGCAGCTGCTTCAGAGAAACTGAGACTGCCATGGGCAGGGAAAGAGAACCTGAGTCCTTCCTGTAGGCTCTGGGGCATGATGTAGGACAATGTCAGTGCAGCTGGTTGTCCCTGCAGTGATGACATTCCTCTCCCCTCTTCCCTTTGTTTTGGGCCCATTCATTTACCAGCTGCTTGAAGGAGAATCTGTTTTTATCATACATGAGGATTTATTCCTCCTTTCTGCAATGAGCACTCAACTTTTACATAGAAGAAAAGTTCAGACAAATAAATATATTGATGGTATTTTAAATATCATCTTTTTGCGTGGCTGGGAACAGGCAAGTGTTAAGTGTGACACTAAAAGACTAAATATACCAAAGGACTGTTGCACGACAGCTACAACTGCGTAGGTGCTGAGTATTATACCCTAAGCTGATTTTCTAAAAGAGATTCTCACTAGAGAATGTGTAAATAAAGAAGTTCAGATATTTCTGTATCAATCAGTAAGAAAATATTTTGACGTATTTTGTACATTTTAATTTTTTTTAAATATATGGCTACAGATGTCATATGTAAAATGCATCAAATATGCCTCCTGTTTGCTTCGGACTGGGATCCTGAGAACATGTGGAGACATGGCTCTGCCAACTTCTGGAGGCAAGAGAGTATTCCTGAGGGAAAATAAAACCTCATGCATGTTTTTATATCTTTCTCATAGCAGGTAACATGTCTGTAGCCCAGCTGGTCTTTTGCTTTGGTCCAGTGTGGTCACTTTGACAGTAAAGCTGCAGGAACCGAACATGCAATGTCCCACTGTTAAGTGGGAATGCCAAGCCCAAGGCACTGTCCAGTAGCCTTTAGGGAAAGGACTTGCTGATTGTCTGGACATTTTGCATTTAAAATGTCAATTATTACTGTAATTTTGGGGTACTGTGTGACTCTGGCTAAGTGACTCTGCCTTGACACCCAGAAGTAAACCCCTGGTGTGACTCCTAAGCCTTATCCACATGTCAGTATGGGGGTTTACCTGTTTCTAACTAAAACAAAGAGTGAGAGGCAAAAAAAGGTGTTTGGCAAACATTGATTCTATTTTGAGGTTGCTTTTGATGTTTCTTTGACATTTGCTTTTGCTGGAGAGATACTGGTCCTCTTGGACCCTTCAGAAAGGATCAACTTTTATGGGCTCAATCTAAAAGAGGGATCTGTTAGCACATTGCTCTGTTGCCTGAAGGTTGTTCTCAGGCTGAGTGACCAAAAGATTTTTGTCTTCAGGGAATTGTTTTTGAGAGTAATTCTTGAGGCTTCCATTAGCACTTTGGGGTCAGAAATTATGCCTGGTTCTTGGGGTAACCAGGAGTCTGGCCTCCCTGGAAGTCCCAGCACTGGCTGTGCCTGGAAGCCATGGGAACCTGGTGCAGGAGCTGTATAGGGGTAAGTTTCTTCACTGGATTATACAAGAAATGTACCAGTCTCAGAGTGATGTGAGATGAAAATTTTATGCAGAATTTGGCAAAACGGGGCCTGAACACAAATAAGCCCTTCTTCCTGTCCTGGTCTGGTGTTCTGGAATGGGATATGTGGTTTGGAGAGATGCTTGTCCCTGAAAGTGAAAGAGCTACTAATACAGCTCCCCTGGAATGTTTTTGTTGAAAATGTTCCGAGGAGCTAATAGTGTCTGGGGTGTTGGATATTTCTGGAAGGACAATCTGTTAATTGCTTAGCAATAAGGGCAGCAACACAGTGATGCCACAGCAACACAAACCAGCGCACTAAGAAAATTACCAGGTGTTCAAAGCGCAGGCTCAGAGGAGTAATAAGAGGTTGGGGAGACTTTTTGCCTTTGCTGCAATACAGGTCAGCAATGAACAAAAGTGGGACATTAATTGACATCTCTGGAGTCTCAAAACAAAAGCTAATCTGCACCACCTGAGCCCAGTGGTACCTGTGCTTCAGCTGTACCTGTCCCGGGAGTAGGCACAGACTGCACGTTCTCTATATGCCAGGTTGGACCTGCTAAAAAAGAACAGTGTTTAACAAGGATTGTGCCTTTTGTGTGCAGACTTATGCTGATAGGGAAATACTATGGTGATCTGAAGTCCAGTTGCATTTACACCTGTGAGGGGCTAGAGAAAACAAGGACAAAACTTTCCCAAGGAGATAGCAGCGATGCAGCATCTCCCTCTGTTGTGGGACAAACTTCTGTTTGTCTGCTGGAGGGTAGAGATTGATAACCACTGAGAGGGGCTGAGGCAGCTGCACACAATGTTACTTTCTGAGAAAAAGGGAAACAAAAAAAGAGTATTGAGTGTGTGGCAAAACTGAGAGGGGAGGAAAATTCCTTCTTTCAAAATGCAGTTTCAAAAGAAGTCTACCCTGAAGGTCGTATTCTGCAAGAGTGACAAACCGAGTGACCCCAGTGTGACATTTTTGTTTACCAGATCTGCCTTGTGCCTCTAATAGGTCATGAATTTGAGTAGTGTGGTTAAACAAACATCCAAAAAACTCTGTCTCGAGAGGAACCTCATATGGAAGCAGAGGAAGTGCTGTATCAAGGGTTTTGCTTTTATTTTTAGAGCAAACTGATTAATGCTGAGCTCTAAGAATTTCTTCTGTCATATTCAAGTTTCTCATGAGATTTTTGAGGACTTTTAACAAAAAATGTATGTGTGGGAGGGGCTTCACAGTTTCCACATGTTGTGGTTTTTTTTTTCAAGATTTTCAGCAAAAGAATGTGAACAAAAATTTAAGTAGATTTCTTTTCCTTGCAAATTTGAAGCTACTTTTTTTCCTTTCAGGAGAATATTTTGCTGATATTTGCAAATGATTTTAGTTGTTGTGCAGTGCTGCAGCCTCTCTGTGTCAGACCCCAATTCCACCTCCCACCCTGGTCCTTTGCAAGCCTTGTATGCCCTGAGGCACCTCTAGAAAATGCAGACCCCTGTCCAATGCAGGAGCCCTGCAGCCCTTTCGTGGGGTGAGCAAGCCTGGGAGTCCTGCTCGGGCCAGCCTGGCCATCCCCCAGCACCCACCCTGACTTTGGGACACTGGAGCAATTCACACAGTTTTGGCAGGGATTTTGCAAGTGTGTGTGGTTGCTTAGTGTTGCTCACTCTGCAAGTACAGAGATATGAATTTATGAGCAACAACTGGGTTTTGACTCTGTTCTGCCATGGTGCAGCAGAGTGGAAATCCCCCAGTGCAAGGTGTGTGTTGTGATCTACCACGAGGAAATGCTGATGAGTTTGGAGTAAAAGCTGACAGTGGTAGCAGGGGAATTCCCCTTTGGAGAGGAGAATGTCCTGGAGCATTTCTGAGCCTGTCCCCCTGAAGAAGGATGGAAGAGATGGTTTCCTACAGGGGTCACTCCGTGTCTGATGTATTTGCACAGCAAAACCTGTTTGTGCCTTCCTTTTTTAGCTCTAGCTGATTACTCTCAGCTTAAATGATTGCAGAAAGCATCTCAGTACAAACTGAGCATCCTGTGTGTGTCCCTGAGCCGGCTTGACTATACAACTTCAATATATGCAGCAGAGAAAGGCATTTATTATCATGAGCTAGTGCTGGGTGGTGAGCTAAATGCTTTGTTTATGTAAGATATACAATAAGAAATGTTTGGTACAGCATGTTCTCCCTGAGAATTCAACACCGCCTGAATCTTGTGTTGGCATCCACTCAGCACGCTTGTCCCCACTCCTGGCAGATGCAGAGCAGGAATATCATCTTGCCACTCTGCAGACGACTGCCACAACTCGGCTTCCCTTCACAACACGTCCCCTTGTCCTGGCTGAAGGGCAAGAAGGTGCCATGGAGCAAGTGAACTGCTCACATTTCCCTATGAAAACGAAGCCTTTTGGATACACTGAGCGGTCCCGGCAGGAATGCAGGAAACCTGAAGTGTGGGGGTTGAAGTGGTCTGGTAGCCTTTCTTCCATGCTGGCAGACTTGTTGCTCTGGTCTCAAATCTGCTTCCCATGGAGGAAAATGACCAGTGTTGTTGGGAAGGGCTGCTCTGTTCAGCAAGGTCCTGGGATGTGCCTTCTTCATGCCTGCCTGCTGTGGGATCCAGCTGTGTGCAACAGAGGGTGGCTTGTTCCTCTGGCCCATGGGCTCTGCCAGGAAGGGTTTGTGAGTGTCCTATGGCTTTGTCTTACCAGATACCTGTCTACAGAAGGAGCCCAGGGCTGCTGTCTTTGACATCACATATCCTCTGGTTTCGGTATAGTGGTCAGCCCGTCATCATGACCGTGGCAGAGCATCCAGGGAGGTACCTGGCTGAGAGGCAATGCTCCATCATGTGTGCCAGGTTTCATTGGAATCAAAATGGGAAAGAAAAAAACAAACAGGCAAAATTTGAAATTTGTTTGTTAAAAACAGTGGGAGTCTGTCTTTAAAGGGAAGTAATGCCTAACCCTGTGAGACACCCAGCTGCTTTGCACAGGCCTGGCTAAAATGTGTCTGGACTTTGGTCCTGGAATTGAAGAGTCTAGGGACAGGGAGCAAGCCAGCCTCTTTCATTACCTCTTTCAAATGTTTACTTTCCACTTCATCTTCAGCTGAGACAGAGCCTGGATTTGACACTGTAAGCTCTGGATAGAACTCTGTTAATCCCCAGAGCACTTCACAGGGACAGAGCAGAGTGATATGGAAGTGGATGAGGGTCATGATATTAATATCCCTGCCATGAGGTACATCTCTACTTGCCCCCCTCCCCTGCTGACACCCAGTAGCTCTTTAGTCTTAACAAATACCAAATCACAAAGCTCCATTCCATTCCTGTAAAACAAGCAGTTATGGGAAGCCAGGATCCACTGTGATTTTTGGCTTTTAGAATTGTAAATTTAAACACTTTATTGTTTTTACAGCAAATAAGAAAATTAACAACAGTGCAAATGTGACTTATCCAACACGACAGACAGCTGAAATGAAACACAGAACGAGGCTGTCTCTAGAAATCACACTCACCTTGTAACAAATGTAAGAAGCATTTCTAGCAAGAAGGGAAATGGTATAATCATTAAATGCATTTAGACAGAGATGTATTGGATATATGAGATATAGTTACTCTTGAACAATGTGTGGGAGAGCTTAATGCAATG